CCATTATTGTTTTCCAATAAGAATTTCATTGACTTCTACCATGCTCGCGGCCCCTACATTGACCTTATTATATCAACAGCACAGGTGGAGCGGAGAGATAAGTTTGGTAAGTTAACGCAGAAAAAGTAGTTATAAAGTCTAGGCGTTTTCATAACTGCAGATCCAATATTTAAGCCAGAAATGGTGTGTCAACATTGCAAATAAAGTGAAATGTGAAGTTGTTTGGACCTGTGTCTACTTTTCATCCTGGGGAAGACATGAACTTGTCAAAAAGAGTCAAAAACAACTCACAAAATAAGTTTTCTAAAGTCGTGGTGCAAGTGGATTCAGAACCAGAGGGAAATTCTAATGACTAGAGGGGCGAGCTTAAGAAAACACATGGAGCAATATTGGCAGTTTAAAATACAACTTTAGAAAGGAACCAACAGCGAGTGTAACTGCCCAAACTCTGACGGTAAGAACTTCGCTTGCCCAAACATGACTCCATGGCTTGTTCACTGCAAGAAGGTCCTAGGTTTGATTCTGGGGTCAGCTGGGGTCTTTCTGTGTGGAGTTTGCATGTTCACCCTGTGTCTGTGTAAGGGTACAGTCCAGTGTATTTGTAGCACCTGCTGTAACAAACGTCCCGACACTCAGCCGTGAAAGTTGTGAAATTTTAATTAAAAACCTTTTTTTTTGCCTGTGTGCAATTTCCTCGAGTTTCACACACTTGTTTACGTCTGTAGCTCAGTATTGACATGCACCTAGACTTTCAGGTCATGCTAGAAAAACTGAGAAACCATCATGTAAAATCAATAATCTGTGAATACATACAAAGGAGGTTTACATGACAACTAATTGACTGTATTTTTCCCATGAAGGCTCAGTATCAGGCCCAGATTGGTTGGATGGCATAATGTACAGCATGTGTGTGTCCTCTCCCTGGGCGGTACACAGTTTGACAGGAGCAAAGAAAAACACGATGTATGGTGAACCCCCGTAGAGCGCCCGGGGCTGGCAGAGTAAGGAAGTTGAATTTGGTGGGTCTTAGGGAGAATTATCCTCACCCTCAGGCCTGGGATATAGAGAGCTTTTTTGCCTCACATAACAGAAGCCTTACTCATTGGCATTCACAAAGAGATGGAACAATTCAGGAAGAAACAAAACAGGAATTAAGCATGGAATTGGTATTTGATCAATTAAAAAATACTCGTTGATTCAGAGAAATAAAATGTGAAAAAGGTAAAATAAGTTGTCTTTGTTGGTTAAACTTCATCTATCACTGAGCGTCTAGCAGGATGGGATCTTCTCCCCACGCCATCTACCCCCTTCTCTGAGAGACTGTGCCTTGGAGCGAGGCCCCCTGGGAAATTGCCGTGGATAAGTTATTCAATTAGAGGGGCATTATTGGCCTGCTCCCTCAGAGGACAGAACTGATGATGCTGTGATTACACTGCTCTGCATTCCTTTATGGCTCGACGCCCTCTGTATGTGCGAGTGCACATCTGGCTGTATCAAACAGTATAAGTGTTTGTGCATTTGCTCCTGCCACAAATCAACATAATGTTTGTGAGGCAAATGGAGGAGATGGGGTTATAAATAGAGGGGTCCATCAGTGCTGCTCGGGTGACTTCAAATGAGTCAATTTAAGTTTAAGGACAGGTGAGGTGACCACATATTGTTCTAGTGAGGTTGTATAGAACCTTGACCCTTTGGATGAACTATCAGAGCAACAAGGATCTAGTTAATATGCATTTCATTATCACTAGAATATCAGTGTTTTCAAGTGTCCACTTTATTTTTTAATATTACATTTTTGCTTTGTATGGTCTGTTTTCTCTTCTGGTTGTTCCAAGATGGTTCTGTCTTTATCCTTGTGTGTGAATGATTTTGAGTCAGGTGTGTGCTTTGTTTTATTGTAAAAAAAACCCAACATATATATATATATAAATATAATTAAAAAACATTGATCTTATTACCAAACATCATACTGTAGTAGTATAGCAAAAAGCAAATCAATGTAAAAACGTTTTTTTTCTTTTCTTTTTAAAGTGCTTTGTGTAACTAGATGTGCAATCTAAACATTTACTTTAAAAAATAATGTTTCTTCATTTGAAATAATAAGATGCCCAGAAATTGGAATGTTGTATTTGTTGTCTTTCATCATTTGTTCCACTTTTTGTTGTTATGATGGGACTTGAACAGAAACTGAATTAAATTGGACAAAGAAATGGCAGCATGGCTATCTCTCACAGAGCGGCCCTCACGCCCAAATCCAAACACCCTCTCTATGGACCAGAGGTGTTCTTTAAACTACTGCCACGATGGGTCTGTCCTATCTGCCCAGCGCAGAGCCACAGATGCCCTCCCAAGGGTGCACGCTCGAGGGGAGCAGGGCAACGGGCCTGGAGCCTCATCTGCGCTGCCCAGAATACAAATAGGTCAGTGTGCGGTGGGAGAGAGAGAGGGAGGGTACGTACACTGACCATGAACAAGAAGAGGTCCTGCCAGCAGAATTCCTCCATTCGCTGTGATGGGAAGAGCCATCTGTTATCAATGCGGAGAAGTCAAGCAACTGTGTGCATGCATTCACACACCCACACTCTGTCAGGAGCAGGGCCGTCCTGACTTCTATTATGTCTCTTAGATTAGGGCCATCACCTCAGGTCAGTGGTTTTTGATGTAGTTTACAACCTGCTATTAGACACACACATTTCATTTTATCATAAGAACAACTACGGAGCAGTTTCAGTGACAGACTGATCCACCTTCGCTGTGTGAAAGAGAGGTTCCGCAGGTGTATAATCCTAGCCATGTCAGTTTTTTGAGTCTCACTATTTCTGTTTGAAAATTACTGAAAAGTTGGGTTGGATGCCACAGGTTTCCGACCAAAAACAACAATGAGTGGTCACATACGGTGCTTTTGTACCCGGTTTCAACTCAAGAATCACTTGTGGAGTTCCCCCTTCAAAAAAAAAATCCTGAATCAAGGCAGTGAAAAGTCTAAAAAGTCTAAAAGAAGTCAGCTCATTTCAAGGGGATATACAGTACATGATTTTAGTGGTAGAGTAATCCATATCACCTGCTGGAAACATATACTAAAGCCCTGTGGTGGGAGTCGTACAGAACCTTTAACACTCAGCCCCAGTGCCAATGGTGAAAGCCAATGTTTCAAGACCGGTATCGCTTATGGAAAATCTGGAACTGATTTACTTCCTATCACAATTTATGTATTTCTGAATTTCCAAAGTCTGACTGTCACAGACAGTATTGAAAGTATAGTTCAGGTTGTTGATTGTGGAATGTTGGTCCACTCCTCTTGACTGTGTGAAGAATATTGATATGTCACAAAGTGTGCGGTCGGATGGATTAAAACTATTTCAGACAGATTTGTGAACAGTATTTGATAGAGATAGATCTATTGAGCTTATGGCAGAGTTAAAGGTAAGGTGAAACAATGAAAAACTATGGAAGAAAAATACATATGTTGCTTAATACATGCTTCCTAAAAATAATCCATACCCTCACTGGTGGTTACACTGTAGACTTAAGTTTATGTTGGACATAAAATACAAACTCTTAAAAAATATGGTAAACAAACTAAGCGCCAACTCAGCAGCCTATAAAAGTTCAACTACAACATTCGGGTTGTTTCTAATCCCTGTGTTGACCCAGCTTTATTACACCAGTTTTACTCATTATCTCCAGTGCTGTCCTCAATCTTTCACTTTTCTCCTGTTTTGGAAATTCCTGAAAGGGAGAAAAACTATCAGCTGGTTAAAAATAGACATTGTTTGGCTGTGATGTAATCCCAGGGCTGTATCCTAAAGTTTTCTTTGTGCTGCTGGTGCAAGCTCAACTTATCAGCAAAAAGGGAAACTGATTTTCTTTGGCTTAATATCAAAACCTCGGCCTGATGAAGGAAGGTTTGCACAGAGTAAATCAAGTAGAAAATAAGCAGGGTTGAATTATTTTCAAAAGCCAGAGCAACATTAAGCTGTGTGCGGGGCTTGTGGCAGGGGCTCATGAAAAGAAAACATTTCAGGGCTTTCCATCACCTTCTCTAGTTCATTATATCAGCACCTCATGCATTTATATATTGCCAAAAGGGCAGTGAGTGCTCCATCAGTCCACTATAGCAGAGCATGTTAGTAGAAAAAGACTAAAATCTGGACGACTGCTTCTTATTTTGATATTTTGACCAAAAGGGTAAGGCTGGGGTACCTCCCTTATTTAATTATGAATAATACATTGTAATTGTTCTCACAGAGCGTAAAAGTTCAATAATATCCTCATTCTATTTGAATACATGCATCACGTTTTGAATACTTGAAAGAAAGATGAGTGAGTTGCTATTTCATGCTTTGAGCTGATTGGCTAAGAGAGGGTGGACCTACTTCTCTGTCTGAAAAAGCTGATCTAACAGTTATCAAACACATGCATGTCAAACCTTGTGATTGAACCCGGAATAAGTTAGATGGATTTTATTACATAGTGACATTTTTTGGTGATTTAAAAAAGTTTGGTACCCCAGCTTTAACTGACAGAGGCATTAACCACACTTGGACATTCAAATCCCCAAACTAACACTCAACAGCTGCATTAATGGCATCTTCAGCCCACCTTGTGCACTTGCATTAGTGAGATAAGGTCGCAGATATCTCGAGCATCCTTGTCTCCACCTACCCGCGTGTTAAGTCGAGGAAAAAATCATTTGTTGTGCGGCAATCTGTGTCTTTCTGATTACCACCCCGCATTCACTTCCTGGATGTGCCCCCGCCTCACCTCGCTTTCATCCTCCCTCTGCCTACGACACACATCTATCTCTATGATTATTTAAACGGGTGCCAGAGAAATACTGTGACCCGTCTAATTTGGGTTGTGTGTGCAAGTGAGGCGAGGCATCGAGGGGGCCCTGCAATTCTCCACACTCTCTTTAAGCAAGCTGGAAGTGGCGGGCGAGAGAGAAGCTGTTGCCATGGCTACCTGCTGGCAGCTTCTGTCCTTGTGTTTGGAGAGCACTAGCTGTTCCCTCTCCATCCAACGCCTGGGTAGGAATACAGGACCGGAGGAGGCGAGGGAAGGAAGGACGGGGAGGAGAAGGGGCGACTCAGGGAGGGGCCGGGCTGCCATGGGTAACAACGCAAGTTCTCCCCTGGCCACAACAGAAAAGGGCCACAGGCTGGGAAAACAGCAATAAAAGAACAGTAGAGTAGGCCCTAGTGGCTGATCAGGCTCTGCTCACACACACCAGTGTCGATGACAGGCCTGACAGCTGTGGGGGGATGTGGAGGAGTGGCAACGGATAATTGCTTTAGCACTGGCATACAATTCAGGTGCCTCCAACGCAGAGCAAGGAGGCAATCTGTGCCCCCATGTCACCTCCCAGTCCACTTTCTACAACAAAACTCAATCACCTACCAATACTGGAATTAGGGCTACATATTTTAGATACATAGGCCACGATTCTACAATACATACCTAGATACAGGGCACTTTCAATTTGCTACAATTTGCTACAATATATTTCCAAGCAATTCTATACAATTCAGTAAAAATAGACTTTCGGGCCCTAAACTCATTCCCCACTAGATGTAATGCTGTCATTTGCCTCTGTCATGTACAGTACACAAATTACAATGTGCCAATTTAATAAAGTCTCATGATGAAAATATATCATTCAATCACCTGTAACATTAGATTCCCATAATGTCTGCCCAAACCGTTGCATCAGAGTCTTATGAGTACATTTGTTACAACTGGGGAATAATGTCTCAGACACATAAGCCTGAGAAGTCTAATTCCCCCCTGGTCGGCTACAGAATCAAATAAACTTAATATTATATTAACAAAGAGATATGCATTTCAAGAACACTAAATGCAGAACACAACTCTTATTGGGGTCAAAGCAGATGATACAGCCGAAATACAGTCCAGAGAAAAGTGGACTCAGTAAGTCCCATGGAGATGAATATCACATATGTGCATGGACATATTATTTATCTAAATCTTCTGCATGTGCCTCTAAAACATTTCCGTCTGACCTACAGGGCTCCTGCACAGAAAAAAGGTAGGTTTGTGTTCTCACTCCAAAACAAGTTATTCTGTAGAACAATTGGCCTCACAGAGCAGCTCTTGCATAAGAGAATCAAGTACATATCAGGATGACTACAGTGTTGCAGGCTCCACACTGCGTCTCGCCAACTCGTAAGACGATCTTTGTAATAGATATCTATGTGATGGACAATACACGGAGCCAGCACTTTTGGGACACACACTCTTCTTGTTACTTTCTCGGCTAGTTTTTCATTCTTTTAAGTTCTACACCCATGTTAATTGGTTAACAAAACTAAACTATCACTTTCTTTGAATCAGTTTGTTTGTTATATTAATAATGAAGTTGGCTTATTATGGTGTACTGTAAGTATTGGAGTGAAAGTTCATATGCACAATGTAGAAATAGAGAACTCATGTAGCTCCTCACAGTGCACTGAGGCCATGATGGTCCCTCCCTGTCTCTGCCCCCCTCTTTCCCCCTGGCAGGAGGCTGACCTTGGACAGGCCAAACAGAGAAGTGGCCTGGAGGAGGATAACCCACTGAGCCAGCCCACTCATGTGCAGGTGTAGCACAGCCTGGACAAACACACATGAACACACACGCACACAGTGCCACTAGACCAGAGGAGGCCCCTGAGCGAGCAGATGTTCCAGCCGCTTCAGCCTGATACCGTCTTTCTGCCTCTCCTGTGATGTTCGCAATATTGCAGTCACTAATATTGCAGTCACTATAATATCCACTTATAGTAGACTTACAGCTTTACTTTACTTTACATACTCACATTTCACAAGTATTCTGATTTACTCTGATTAAAACATCACAATGGAAATATTTTACTCAAGAACAAGTATTAATTTACCTCTCACTGAAATCACATTTACACCTGTGGTAATGTGATGTAAAGTTGCATACAGCATGCATAACATATGAAATGACATGAGAAGATTTTCACATATAAGGATTGTGCACACAGCATGAATCAATAATTTACATACTGTAGCATGCCTCTATGCAAGTTCCTTATTATGATATCCATAGCACAGTGTACAACAGAGGAGGTCAATGCTTAAGGGAGCTGCGAGCCGTTCAACATCTTATCTCTTTGCCTCCCTGTGGAGATGTAGCTCGGAGAAAGCCATATACAGAGAAAGCCAGCAGCATCAAGAAATTATGTCTCTTCAATGTATGTATGGAAAAATAAAATCTTGAATTTAAAGCAACCACAATATTGCATCATGTATGTATGTATGTATGTATGTATGGCATACCTCTTAAATGTATGAGAATGCCTAATGGTAAATCTTGACATGAATAGAATACTGTAGGTTGTTGTAGTTTTTACATAGATAATGTGAAAATACCACCAATAGTAACTTTGTAGAATTGATCTGGCTATCAGAGAGATAACATATCATGAAACACAGACTCCACATCCTGCTCCCAACCTACAGTATACATTATTGGTTGAGCATGTTGACAGGTGTGACATTTAACCCGCCTCACCTTCTGGTGTATGAAGGTGTGTGTGTGTGTGTGTGTGTGTGTCTGTGTGTGTGAGTGGTCCCTAGATGTAAAGCAATTTGAGAATGGTGAAAGGTGAAAAAGCATGATATAAATTTGACCATTTGCAATTATTTGTTTACATTGCCATTTTTTAAAATCAATTTGACCAAAAGTGCCCATCTTAATAGAGCTTAATTGTTACATTTCTCACATAAAAATATACATTTTTGAACGTATTTTTTTTCTCTGTAAATGGTTCATAAATGATTCATTGATTACTAAATTATTAAACTGGTTTTCTAGAGTGTTAGTTTATTTTCATGTGTGTATAAAGTAAAGACTGGTGTAATGTATGTGGTCTTATTGTGCAGGAGAATTCATAAGCCAAATACAATAGGACTGCGGGGGCATTGACACAGAGGTGTGCACTTTATCGCCAAGAGACCAGGCCTGCCTTTGAGTATGAATATTTATTTAACTTTCAAAAGTTCAAGTCTTTCCCTTTCCTGTCAGCAACTTTATTCCACATTCATTCTTTCTTATTCACTGTCTGAAACGCAGCGTTATTATATTATGTAAAGTTTCTGTGATCTTTTCCTATACCTGTCTACTCTCTCAATGGAGATTTTTTGGTTGCATTTTTGCCCACGGAAATAGAGCTTTTTCTCTGCGTGGTACAAATCCTCGCCCACTCGGTGCAGACATTTGTGCTGTGTGACTAAATGATGAATGGTGTTACAATAATTTGATGAGATTGGGTGAGATGATGCAAGAAAGAAGTGTGTAATGATGCTCGTCATGATGTCTTGAAGCTTATAATGGTTTTCAACAAACGTCCCAGCAGGCAGACTCTCACTTTGAACTCAAACCTCTGTGCAGATGGTTCAGGCAGCTCCCTTGGGTGCGAGGTGTGGGGCGTGGGGGACTCTGCAGCTATAAACACACAATTCTCTTCCTATTGACAGTGGCTGCTCAAAAAAAAGAAAATAAACACACACATATGTTGGATTTTGCTAAGGTTATAACTGGTATTAGATGCTAGTAAACTATGGTCATACCAAACAAATGTTACTATTGTAAATGTACTTTTATCAGGTCTACTATACACACAAGACTTAAGTGGTTCCTGCAGTAATAAGCTTTAGCCTGAATAAAACCTTAACCCCTGTCTGGAATTATATATGATATGTTCAGTGTGGTCCGCTCCCATCGTCGATTAATGTCAATCATCAGGACAGTGCATTCTGAAACTGAAATAGTGCCCAAGCTGGTGAAGGACCCAGTGGACATCAATGGCCTGTAATGACACCCTCCACTGAATTTGATACTTCCACCAACATCAAGAAGATGAAATACAACTGCTTTAGACCATAGACAGTATATAACCTGACATATGGTTATTGGTTTTGATAACTTTGCAGAACACAACAGACTATCTAAAAATGTCCCCTGCTTTTTCTCCCACCCTCTTTCACCCACCACCTCATCATCATCATCATCATTGTGCCTGTTTGTGTGCCTGTTTCCTTCAGCACATGCCAAAACTCCTGGGGCATCATTTACACTGTGAAGATTTCAACTCAGAGAGCTCCTCGGGATGTCATTATAAGGATCAGCAGCAGGACTTACAGCTGATATTACATTAGTGTTCCATCACACGCCCTTAAAGCTCCCATCAGCTCTCAACACACAAATCACATGTTCTGTGGCTCAATGCATGCCACTAATAGGCTATATTACCTGTGTGTTAATCTCAATGTTACCATGGACTATGGAACGTGTAGCGCCTGTGCACTGCCATGAGCTGTCGATGGAGTTGAACTGTGGATAAGGTCACAATGGCATTAGGTTGCAGAGTAGGCTGCTTCATAATTCAGACAAATTTGAAAAACTGATTTGATAACTTTTTTTTGTGCATTTCACTAAAACTTCCATATCTGGGATGAGCTAATTGCAAACCAAAACACATGCTTATTCTAATTAGGAAAACGCCAGTACATGCACTCATAATAACTACACTAAAATACACTATTATAGTCTACCTGTAATGGTTTAGTTGTCTGATTCGTTATATTTTTCCAAACATCCCGCCAGATTGACAGAACATTGCACACTCGCCGGAAGTGGGGTCACGTGATGCGACTTTAAAATGTACCGCGAAAAGCTAAAGTAAAAATATATCACAGTATTTTTGGTTAACACCTTCTCTAATTGATGCCTCTATCCCATCCATGCCCTGTCCCGGGAGGAGGGCAGAGGTGAGTAAAAGGAACAACACTTCCTCATTACGAAGGTTACGTCTCTCACCTACAGTATGTTGCTACTTTATTATGTCATGGCTTTGTTATGCTTTAGTGCGCAGGCGTCATACCCATAGTCATACCCATGGAGCTAGAATAATAACGGTCATACCCTGTGAAACAAGACGGACACTCGGTTTTACAGGATATCATTTAATTCACAGAAGGTAACAAGAAGAAGGGTCTGGCTGGTGGTCAGGTAACTTTGAACCTGCTGTCTTTGTATAATGTGAATGTGACAATGTAAAATGTGTTCTTAATTGTGTTAAAAGCACTTCTAGGGACGGACATTGCAAATTAGCCTTGGCTATAAATGTTGCAGTGCTTCACATGTGGATTGTGCACACTTGTCCCTATCAAATAAATAAATATAAACACAATAACGTGCATATCAAAACACTCTCGGAGTCTGCCCGCCTTTTTCTTCCTTGTTTCTACATGACTGTAATTTCACAATAACCTCTGGTAAGTTTGAGATATGACCATGAGTGGATTCTGAACTTGCTGTTGCGCCTCCAGGCTGGTGTGAGTGACCGGTGCTCCAGTGAGCTCAGGAGCCGAAGTGCGGACTCGTCGGAAACCTTCCCGGTGGGGCCCCGTGTAATTCGATGCATGCTGTTAAAGCTTAGAGTATATTGTCCTCCCGTTGCTTATGAAGCCTCCACCCACCGGCCCACCCTACATTTGGCGGATCATGTGACTCGGGGTAAGTCATTTGCAAGTACAACAGTTCTCTGTGCGCTCTCCATTCATTTCCTGAGAACTGCCTGAGCGGAGCAGCTGAGAGGCAGAAGGGGAGGGAGGCACTCACACTCTCTCTCTCTCTCACACAAATACATAGATCCGCTGCGAGCAGAGGCAGAGGAGGAGAGGAGACAGAGAGGGCTGTAGCAAGGAAAACAGTCTCCACGACTCTGCAGCTTCTGACAAGGTCTGTGCATTTCTTTGCTCCTGCGCCTCTCTCTCGCCCCATTCCTGCACTGGCTGTCTGCCTTGTGCTTCATTTGTCACGTTGTTCGGCTTTGTGCTGTGTTTACGCGTCCTGGATCAGCTGTCATTGCTGTGCCAAAGATGACAACTTGGATCACCTATGGGATTGTGTTTGTTGTGGAGGTGGAAACTTGAAAAACACACTTCTGACCGTTTGTCTACCATAAAGTTGACTATTGCTGTCATGGCCAAGTTATTAAACACTTGAGAAGAGAACCTGTTAGGATTTGTGTCACCCTCAGCTCAATTTGACCAACTCAACTGCATTCTACAAACTTTAAAATCAACTTTCCCCATCACTCATCATTCTCAGACACTGTGAGGATATGATCATGGCTGTGTCCACAGTGTAAAGACACCATGCCAAAGTCTTACTCAAATCTTATTTCTCACAGGAAACTGCAAACAAGCATAACATTGTTGCATGTACAAAGGCATTGTGGTGGTGTAAGTGTCAGACGTGTTTGTGGCTATTCGTTGGTTTAAAACAGTTGCAGTTGACAGTATGTGACAGTGATAATGCACCAAACAATAATCCAACTTCATCAACTTGCTCATTGCTTGCTGCTTGCTTTTCTGCAATTTGACAATCTTTGGATTCTGTTGGCCTAATTGAATACAATGTGCATCATTTATTGCCTTCTAGATGTCTTGTAGTTTTGTTGCACTGTTAACAAATTGAGCAATAAAGTGAAAACAAAGAGTAAAAAGTAAAAGTGAAGTGAATAGGTGAGAGCAGTTCGTTCAGGCTGCTTTTTTACTTAGCGGGAGTTATTTGAATATCAACTCAGCACTTACATGCACAGTACATGTTTTAAATGTCTGTTCTTCAGATTATACATATTAAAAACAAGAGAACACAGGCTGTTTGCAACGGGTTAAACATTAGGAGCTCGGGTAGCGGAGGAAGGACACTGGGGGGGAGGTGTGAGTGGGAGTGTTGCAGGGGTGGTGTCTTGGATGTCATCGCAGCGCTCTCACTTCCAGGGTAATAGTCATTGGTATTGATGGCTGGCTGTCAGGGAGGCAGAGAGCCACCAGGCCGGTGCAGAGTGGCCGGGGGCTGGCCCTTGGCTGTTATTTTCAATTACAGGGGACCAGGGCAGAGCTGACAGCAAAGGCATTTGTACAGCCAGGGAAGGGGGGAGGGAGGAGGGTGTGTGCAGTTGGGGGGGGGGATGAGACTCTGGCCTCCGCTCCACGGTTTGATGTGGAAACTGAGCACTGACCTGGGTGACTTTAGCCCTGTGTTATGGAGAGGCCCTGTCTTGCTCTCAGTTGTGACAGCCATAGGGAGTATACATGTGTGTGGATTTAAGGAGGGGCCGCTATCAGGGAAAAAGTTAAAAATCAGTCAAGGGGGAGGGTGCAGAGTACAGATGAGAGACCCGTGCTGATCTAGAAAGTTTAGACTATGAGATTAGAGTTCAACTGCACTTTTTGAGGAAGTTTAGACTTAGAGAACTTTTTTCTTCTTCTTATAAATAATACACTTGAATTGTTCCTACAGAAGGAGACTTGTAAAGGTCACATTCAAATCAGACCACAATATTCTTTCTTCATCTTATTTAAGACGATTTTTTTTAGTTGTTAGGATCAGCCTCTAGAGATAAAACATCAGTTTTCGAGGGAATACTCAGATTAACTTTTACCTACTTGTAAGCCCTTCGAATCACTATTAGACGCTTTGAGTTAAGAGCAGATTAGCTGAGCAAAAGTGGTCTCTTTGTAATTGTTTCTGTCTGAAAACGCTGAAAGATGCGTCAGAGATAAAAAAAAAAAAGTACATGCATGTGAAAACTAGTGATATAACCAAACTGCTTTGACAGCGAGGAACTTGTCAGATGGATTTTATTATGTTGTTATAGCTACATCATCTTTATACTGCAGCGTTCTATGTCACCATTTCTTTACTTATACATACATTACCAACATCTGTTATCTTATTGCACGTAACATCACAAACAACCATTTCTGTTACACTTCTGTCACCACTGCATCACACTTTTCAAGAATTCCTCCAATTTATTCACCTAGCACCATATGACACAGTCCAAGGACTTGTGATAGCGATCAGTGCAGGTGGGGGACTCAATTAAAAAGCCAATCACAGCAGACAAACCCTATCTGTCCATCAACACCACACTACACTGCTGCCCTATTAATTGCCACTCAGGAGCCACGTCTAAAAGCATCATCTGTCCGCTGCACATCACATGAACAAATTTGGCATGTGTTGACAGAGGGAATCTTTCAGTGCAGTCTAACAAATGTCACCGTCTTCATGAGCAGGATGTAAAATTCCCAGTATTTGGCTCTAATCAGAGGGTTAACGGCTGGCATATTGACGGAGGGCTATCATTGATCCCCCGTGGGTGTTATACAGTGTATGGTCATTGATTGCACTATAGGAGGTGCACGAGAAGCCTGGATTCATTTAGATCCCCAAGTGTTAGTCGCAGTCAAAGAGCTAATGTAAATTAAAGAGATCGAGCCATATTGTGTGTTGGGGGATTTGTATGCCAGGCTCATTAGTGGTTTTAGTTGGTGTTCATTGAATGTCCATGGAGAGACCAGTGAGGAGAGTGCACATATGAGGTAATCAGATATTAATTGATATAAAAACTAGTATTGAAACTATATCAGGTGTAGTAAGCAACCTTTTATTCAAAGCCCCCTTCACAGACTGAAACAAAACGCTATACAATTGTTGTTGGCCTTTTTCCTCTCACTCCACGCAGTGATGGAAGCTCGCCTGAACACGAGAGGGGCATGCCCGACCTATTGTACATGCTTTAAATGTAAGGGGAAACCAAAGCACCCAGAAGAAGCTCATGCAGACAGGGGGAGAACATACAAACTCCACAAGGAAGATTAAGATTAGATTAAGAGATCCATTATTCGTCCCACAGGGGGGAAATTCCAGTGTTGCATCACAAGTTATAGAACAGTAGGAATGAGGAGCACACAGCACGATATAAGTGAACAATATCTATACTAATTAAAATAAACAAAATCTCTAACTCTAGCATCAAATAACAAGTATAAAATCTTTATCTTGAACATAATAATAATAATAAATAAGTATAACGTTTTACATTTGGCAAAATAATAGGGCACTGTGTATTCTAGTGCAAGCAATGTTTAGTTATATGTTAGTATCTGTACAATAGCATGTATATATGAGCATGTTTTCATACATTACTACATCAGTTGAACTTGTATACAACCTTATGGTCCCATTAAAAAGTTGTATTAATTTTCCCCTCCCATATAAAAATATGCCATTGTATCAAAATTGCCATGGAGTATTTTTTTCTAGAAATGTAATATCATCACAACCAACCAAATCAAAATCAAATGCAATATATATGTAATTGTAAAGAGCTTACTGTAACTATTGTAGATTGTCTGTGTCGACAGATCACAAATGGTTCCCTCCCTTAGTGTTTTTGGCTGTAGCTCCAACCTTCGACCCCAGTGTCCAACTCACGTTTGTTTGTCAAATTTGAGTAAAGGGTGGACACGCAATGCTGGCGTGTGTGTTTTGTGACAGCGGAGGAGAGGGGGAGAGGGATTGAGTCAAAGAGAATATGGAAAAGATTGAGCAATAACCAGTGGAAAGTCCAAATATTGAACTGAATTCTTCTGTAAAGTTTTATTGTGGTCAAGCAGAAGTTGTTTTCAAAGCGTTTTTGTGTTTATCTTGTTGAAAGTTGTCAACAGCGACTTGAAAACAGAAGGAAAACAGCACATACCTCGATATGTGTGTGAGAAGTTGTTTACTTCTGACATTATCTCTAAAGAGTTTGTGCTTTTCTGAAAGTGACTGTATCCTGAGAGTACGTAAGGTCCAGCTTCAATATGTAATGGACTCGGACTTACCCCCACAAGCACTACTAGAATACACATTATACTTTACTATATATACAAATTTCTTATATTTTATTCCAAAGGAGAGATTTCCCGTTGCTCATAGCTTCAGATTTAAAATTTTAGAGTTACAGTTATTATGAGAAAAAAACCCACCATTTTATAATTATTAACCAAAAAAACACAGAACATAACTGATAGACTGATTAGTAACAGTCTAATATGTTACAAATCCTCTTTTAATTACCTTTTAGTGTTTGAATCTGGTCACATGTTGATTTCAGCATATGGAACAAACTTACTTTAAAAAAAACTAAAAAAGTAGTAATTTCTCCATTTACTGATTCTATCCACAAATATAAAAAAAACTTAAGAACAATATAAGTAGTCCTTTCTTCTAGAAAACTCACGATTACTGTTTTTCTGTTCGTACAACTATACCGTGACCTGAAACATAAATCAATTATCCAAATTATGGACTTGCTGGAGGTCATGCCTTTATACTGTACACCAGCTGTAATGTTCTCTTTTTTTTCTGTATATATTTCCTTTTTCAATATGCAATGTACTGTGTGCATAGGATATTTTCTTTAACTATGGAGCGTATTTTATTGTGTCCTTAATAAAGATTAATGACAATAAGAATAATATCAATCAAACTCATCATCTTTAGATTCCTAAATGTCATCATGCGTCTTTTGTTGCTATTACCTCAACATTTAGTTTACATTTAATTTGGTATCGGTATCCACTGGCTGAAAACAAAAAACAAAATACTTCTGGGTATTTGGAATATTTGAGCAGAGGAACATAGCGACGTCACTTTGTGAAGCAGAATTCACCAAGCGTTGGATTGTTCACCCACTAATAGGGAACGTGAGCTGGGATTAGACCGTCGTGACACAGGTTAGTTTTACCCTACTGATGATGTGTTGTTGCAATAGTAATTACATAGGAATCAATGTAGCCGAGTGGAATACCCAGGAGATTTTGCCTGAAGAAGGTCGTTGGGTCAAAACGTTGTACCATAAATACTAGTTGGAAGGATTATGGCATGCAATATTCCTT